CTGATGTAGCCGAAAGCTATTATATTATCATTGTTCACAATATGGCATTCTCCACGCTTAAAGTTCACTTCATATCCATTATCAGTCAGCTTACGGATAATAAATTTCCAGATAGCTGTGGAACAAAAAGCACATCTTTGATCATAATTTGTATTTCCTCATTTTGATTATTCTGATATTTTACCAAGCAATTACCTTTTCCTGACTAAGCACTATATTAAGACACAATAACATGCCGAACAAATACTTATACTTTGGTATAAGCACTGTATATTCATTAGCTAATGTTATCCACTTAGGAACAAAATTATTATCAAAACTGCTGAACAGAGTTTTGTCATTGCACATATGAATGGTGGCTCCAGAATCGATACACCAGAATTATTCGCACTTGTAAAGCAATGGTGATTAGAAACTTGTTTCGCTTCATTAATGTTACTTGAATTCAAAGTTGTGTTGACTTGTTGCTTTTGATTATGCTTAAGCTTCCATTTTGCATATTTCCTGCAATCAGCCTTTAAATGCCCTAGTTTCTTATAAAAGAAACAATTAGGTACATTATTTTTATCAGCTGGAATGTTACGCATTAAAGAAGAATATGACTTCAAAGCTTTGGTCACGCTTCCTGTACCAGGCTCCTTACTTTCATTTTGACGAGTATACTTTCCAGCAATTTATTTTTAACTAATTCAACAGTTAAATCTGCTTCTGGTCATGTTTCTAAAGTTGTAATTAACGTAGCATAATTTCAGGTAAGCTACTTAAAATAAATGCAAAGAATAAAGTTCTGAAATTTGCTCACATTATTATTCGGTTATTAGGACCAAAACAATCGCTTCCCGATGTGGTCCGATTAACCGGAATCGACTGTAGTTCTTCTGGAAAGGCTGAGTTGTATATTACAACTTTCTAGTTTATTATTGCAATCCGTTGCAAACAATTTTGATGAGGTAAATATTAAATCAAAGTTTCTAGATATGGCTTTTAAAGAACTTGTGCCCTCCTTAAGTATATTATATGCTAGGATGTAATCTAATCCTTTAGTCTGCAAATATTTCGTTACTGGCTCATTATATTGAAATATTTTCAAATATACCTTGGCAGACAAAATTATTCTAAAAGTTGGTATTTTGCCGTTTGTCACATCTGTGCATATTATATATCATTTAGAAGCAATACTTTTGAGCATAAGTATTAATTCTGCGTATAAACAATTATCTTTGCAATCGAACGTGCCAAAAATTTGTTTTAGGGCATCTCTTTTCTGGAAGTTTATGTGCACTTCCTTTGATTTTTCTTTTATTCATTCTTAGTACCTAAAAACTAATGTTAAAAAATTCAACTACAATATTTTTTGTCATCAACTTACCTTATTCAGTGACACAGTAAAATTCGCAAGAGAGGCTTTTTTTTTATTGCAGTTATAATGCAATATTTTCAATTTCACAGTTAAATTAGACTGTAACTGTATTGTATTTCTATAAATTTACTTTACGACCACTGTTGACCATGAGCTCGACTCTAACCCTACCCTACAGCTTACAGCTACGGTATCTCATGTGAGTTTGAGTGGGGTATGCGGTTCGCGCATCCATGTCTCTCTCATGAGCAGAGCTGTCTCAATTCGATTGTTCGAGTTCCGGCCCAGTTTCTTGATCGGCCCGAAATCGCTCCAGCTCATCAGCCCTATCCGCCACTGCTGTTAAACCATCGATAAAAACAGGATAAGAGATTCCATGATGGCCTTATAAAAAAATCCTGTTTTATTATGTGGTGCGTGGGTGGCTCGGTGAATATTCTTCAAAGACATGATTCCACTTAGCTAAAACAATTTTATTAACACACCTATTCATTAACATAACTATTTATTAAAACAGAAAACTTCTACCTAAATATTTGAACATCCTTGCACTCGAGCTAAGGGTAATGTGGGCGAGTTCGTTGGTTGTGCTGGCAGTTATTACGAACGCAACATAACGTCATCTGGCGGTGAACGCAGTCGAACACAACAAGACTGCCACAGAGTATCCCCCAGTGACACAGTCACGACACAAAAACGGGTTAATTGCAGAATTCCTTGAAATGTATAACAATACAATGCATATCTTAATTAAACAAAAATAATGAAAAGTTAATACAATGAGAATTTTAAGTAACTCTCAAGACATATACAAAAGAAATTAATCAAGTATTTATACACTATAAATTTTGCAGCTAACCACAAGAGAAAAACTTCAATCATATTACAGGGATCAGCTCTTTGGGAAAATGAACACGCCATCCACTGCGAGTAATAACTTGTTTTGGAGCAATTTTTGAATCTTCACAGACTTTCTGATGTGAAATCTGATGAATTACAGGTGAATGTAATATGTTCCGACAATATATAGGCTGGTTTTAAGTGATCGATTGATTAATGTTTTTGGTATTTACCTCAATCATAAAATTTTTTTCCATTTGTTTAACAATGGCGTGAGGACCAGTGTAAGGTGGAGTTAGAAGAGGTTTAACAGAATCGATCCGTAGAAATACATAAGAAAAGGTTTGAAGTGCCAAATGAACTTGTTTTCTCTTTTCCTCATTGAAATGATTCCTTCTGCAATAAAATCTCCATTTCAGAACGAACAAACATCACATTCTTCCATTCTCTTCTCCTGTTAATTCTTCACATTGTAGCTTTTTTGTGGCTATGTACGGTGTAGAAAGAAGAGTTTCCAGTTCTGCAAGATCATTCCACAGTCTTTCTGTTAGTGAAACATTGGGGTTATCTACATCTTCTAAAAGAGTTCTTAATTACAACCTCTATATCACCAAATATGTACTTCCCCATCACATTGCTTGATCAATAATTGCTCTCTTTCCTTCTCGTTTCCTAAGAATGGCATCAACTTTGGGAGTTCTTTCTGTTTACCTAAATTTATGAACGAGATTTATAACTAAATGAATCAGTTTAATCAGTAATGCCAAATATCACATCAATTCTCCTCCCTTATATTTATCAATGAATCAGTCATTGAATTGAATTGTCAATGAAATAGAAAATAACTATTTATTAACCCCTTCACTGCAGCGAAAAACGTACAAGATTCATTTCCCAGTGCCACGGTTTTTCACACAGGCGCACGCAGTTATGCGATGTATTAGGAAAAAAATAAGTGCAAGTTTTACTTTCTGAAAACTGTTTACTTTCACAAAATAAAGAATAAAAGAAAAAAATGAATGCAAAAAATTTAATGTTTTGAGTAAAAGTATAATAAAAATGATCCCTAAAATAGAGTTTCGATCAATTCATTTTTAGACCAGTAAAGTGTAATATCAGGTTTCAGTGTTATACCTTGTGAAATCAGTATGCTAAAAAAACATATTTCTTCTGAACTGGTTGAATGCCATGATTATGTTCCTGATTTTTCATTTGCAAAGTGTTGTTTCATATATTCGTCTACAAAATGGTTAATTTCAGTAACAATATGAAGCACGAGAAGTTCATCAAAAAATAATTCAAAAAAGATAAATGAGTTTGAAACATCCATTATATCTTTCTTTAATCCTGGAACCTACTATAAAAAGTAAACGAAAATGGAGGACACAAAATTTTAAAAAAATACGTTTTACTCAAACAACACCAGCCAATACTGCGCAGTCATTACTTTCGCCACTTTAGACACACCTCTCCCTCCAATTTCTCCCCACACCTCTCTGAAATAGTATCCTCCTTCGCATACTTTGTCAAGGTCATTGCGGTGTTTCATTCCAAAGCTTTGCGAATAATTTTATGGGTAGCAGCAAAAAGCAAATGACAGTAGTTTGGAAAGGCGTATATATAGTTAACGCATCGGCTGAGCAAGGCGTATATATATGGCCGCGGCAGTTAAGGGGTTAATGTATATAGTCTATAAATAAAAATAACTCAGTTTGTCATCATTTTTTTTTTTTTAGTTCACTTTAATTTCATTTCAAACTGTAGAACAAAAACTGGAGTCGGAGTTGAGGTGTTTTTAGTGACTTTTACCCCAAAATATGTCTAACTTCGATTCCAACTCCACAGCCCTGACATATATGGTTAATTTGATTGCATACAAGGATGGATATTTAACTCTTAGCCCAAGGTAAAAATTCATCTAGGTACAGCTCTCTTTTCAGGCAACAACTGATTAACATTGTCACTTATAAAATAGCTCATTTTCCACAATTTCAGCTGTTAGGTCACTTCCTCACCTGTTAGTAAAATTTGTTTGATTCTTAAAGATCTCATTTGATTTTATCCGTGGAAGTTTTTTATTTCTAGAATATCTTGTCAGTGTGGTTTAATCAAACTAACAAAGCATTAAAATTCTGCATTAAAGAGCATGGCATCCTATGTTCAAAAAGACAAAATAAACAAATCTTCGATAGCTAATCACGGTTTGGCACTTAACCACAATTCTTAATTTAGTTCTTATCCATTAAAGCTTTCTTAGCTGATAAATTGGATTTCTTTGAAGCCTTTCATTGTCTGATTTTTTTTTTTTAAATAAATGGTATTTATTTCAATCTACTTCTTCTCAATGCTTTCAAAATTCTAATACCTTTCCTCAATTTCATTACTATTTTTCATAACAGATGGCAATACATTCATTTTTGCAGTGGTTTCACTCATCAATTTCCATACAAAATGATTGTTTGTCACTCCTCCTTTATTATTTATTTAGTCGCTTTTGAAGAAAAGGGACCTATGTTTGATCACTCTCGAAATCATTAAAATATCGTTCAATACCTATTCTTTCTTTTGGAGAGAGGCTAATTTAAAATTTTACATTTGCATGTTTCTCTTCCATATGAAATTTTAAAATATTTATCAAATCATAAAATTGTAGTTTTTATGAAAACTATATAAATAAGACATGGCAAATAAAAAAAAAAAAAAACATTTCATTCAAAATAAAATACTTACAGCCTAGTTATCTAGCATGATTAACTAATTGATCCTTGAACGTGTAGTAAGAATATCAAAGTGAACATAAAAAGATAATAATCATTCATTTTATTCAATCATACATTTTTTTTTTTTTTTTTTCCTGTACAACACAGAGGCATCATTACTATGCTCACTATAAAAACAACATGCTGAAAGACATTCATCTTCAGAAAATTTCATTTTATAATTTTATGTTTACATATATATTTCTTTCAAAAATATTCTGTTACAAAAATCATGTTTTTAATACATAAAATTACAAAGTTTGTGGCTTAGTTAAGGGAAGTCAAGAAAATTTCATACAGCAGTATTAAAATTAACCTTTCATATATTTCAAAATAATATACTTACATACATTAAAATTAGCATATACATACATATTTATTAAACAGCATGCAAAATTTAATCATATAACTTTTTAAAATATGAACAATTTTTTAATGTAAGAAACAGAATTTCTACAAAATACTTTTAAAAAATAACAAATAAGAAACACTTTTTTCCTCCTGTCAAAGTTCAATCTGAATAATCATGTATTAATAGTTCATAAAATTATACAAAATGCATATAATACAGCAGAATTTACAATTAAAATAATAGAAATGTTAAACATTCTGCTGAAAAAAAAAACAGGAGTTACATTTGTACAAGGTATAAGATCATTAAAAGGCAAACTTATTTGTACTATTTAATTCGTAAGAGTCCTATTAAAAGTTCTCTCATTGTCCTTATAAAATTACATCTCTTCAGCACCAAATCATAGTTACATTATGCAGCTTATTCTTACACTCTAGAAAAAATTCGAGACCTTTTTCTTTTATAAGAATTTTTTGTTGAATTATTTTACAATAAACAAACAGTATAACAAATTCACAGCATTTATTACTTGTTTTTTCACTTGAATCAATTTGTTTCAGTGCTCATTTAATAAAATGGTTATTTTTTAAATTAAGCATAAAACCTTTATATATATAGCTTCTAAAAGGTATATATTCCTCAAAATATTTTTCAGTTTTTTAATAAAGTATTCATAATTAGGCAGGTGACTGATATTTTTGCATACATTATGGAATGTATACTTTTTCAAAAGTGTATTCTTTTATTATATATAAATCTGATACTTGTAGTTTCAAAATAATATATTGAAACTTATACGTAATTTACAATTATTGTACCCCTATACATACTTGCATTGTGTTTACTGATATATAATTACTTTGCAAAAAGATTTTAGACTGGCAAATTAAAAAACTTAAATAAGTGTTAAAATATTTAATAATCTGACATATACAGTTAATTATTTTGCAATTTGCAGTAATAATTAATACTTTTCTTAAAAGTATTTAATTTTAATCAAATCTGAGCATAGTTGAATAAATTTGCTACATTGTTAATTTACTGTATAAAAGTCAACAAATTTTTATTCATCATAGCTTCACAAGAAACATAAATCATCAACATCATATCTACAACATTTCAAAAAGTGTCTATGATGAAATTATCTAATGCTTTTTAAAAAGCAAATGTGTTATTTCCTGTTTTTGAAGAGCACTATTTAACAAATAATTAGAGAATTACAATCAGGTGCAGTTACAACAACTAAACCACAATAAAAGTTATCATGGAAAATAATGAAAACTCTATTTTTTAATAACTTGTAAATATCTAATGTTTTTGCCAAAGGAATAATGCCAACAAATTTTGCTGTTAGGTTTAAGAACAGAAAAATTACCACATTATGACAATTATTGCCCTCTCATGTTGTTGTGCTCTTTATACTAAATGCTGCAACAATTTTACTGCACACTGGATGCATTTAAAAAATGAGAAGGTCTTCTACAAAACTGTCACTTCATTTAATAGGTGAAAATGATGTTGGACGTAACCATCGACTTCTCATTTCTCTAATTAATGGAACTAGAAAAAAGAAATTTTAGAAAAAGTTAACATTTTCCCCTAATTAAGTGCTAACGAAAAAATATTTTAAAAATGTAAACTTCAGAAAATTCTTATAATTCCGTTAATAGCAGAAAGACAAAGGTACATAGAAACCCTACACCTAATCTATTAATCTCTAGAAGAAGACATACTGGGATTTACAAATTGCAATATTTGCTTTTTGACAAAACTGCTTATTGAACATGAAACTATTTTTAGACTATGTAAGATAAGACTGATTGATGAGCCAGCTATGGTTTGTTAGTTTTAATACCTCAACCTATCTAATTGATGCAATAAGATATTCAGAAGTCAAAGAGAATAACTGATTTTTATTTTTTTAGATTTACTTATTCATCCAATTGTTTCTTTTCTTTTAGTCCACAAAGCATGCAACGATACTCTACCTAAAGGAATCGATGTATTCTGTATCATATTGTTAAAAATCAATTGGTACTTTTGATAATCCATAGCCCAGCCGAAAAGTCACGAGGAAAAGTATGTTGTTAAAAAGTTATGTAGCAACCCACTTTGCTAGTTTTGATTTTTCTGGTACACAGACTAACTTTTTGCTCTTGCCAGATGCCTTAATGTATCCCTTAAGAGTCTGACAATGTAAGAAGTTTGAAAATTGCATTTCTTCAATAGATAAAATAGGAGGAGAAAAAGGTCTTGTCTCTGCAGCAATACTTGACTATGCAAGCTAGAAGGGACCCTGTAAAGGGGTGGAGCAAGACATGGAAGGAGACAAATCAGCTCAAGAATATCCCGTGCCATGAGTTCGCGACACTGGGTAGACTATTAATGCCAAACATTCCAGAAAGCAGGTGAAATCGTCTCAGGCTCCTGACATGGCAAAATTCAGAATCCAGACCTTTACACTTTTGCATAATTAAGGATATGGCCTGCAAAAGGTCGAGTTTTTTTTTCCAGTATTTCATATGCAAAAATTCTGCAAAGTCAGCTGGATTGTTGGCTGCAGCTTTGTCACAGAATTTCCTATTCACTCTGCAAAGACAGCTACGTATTCGATTTTCAAATCAGAATGCAGGCTTCTATTTCTAATGAAAGGAAAAGGAACTCCTTTAATTACTCACAGTATTTTGTGTTATTTTGTTAAAAGAATAAAACTACAATGGTTGCATACTAAGTCACCAAGAAGTATTCATGTAGCAACACAGATGTGGATGTAGCACATGTCTGTTTTGATTACTTGTACAATGCAGAAAATGTACAAAGCTGAGTTTGTGCCATTCTCAAATTTTGTTTTTCCAAGTGAAAACAGGTTGTTGTATACATCAGAAAAACACAGCACAAAATGAAAGGATTCCTTGAAATAGGTAAGTATTTCATTACTGATGATTCTTGCTTTTTTATTGATTGCTTGCTCTTGTATAAATTTTTTAGTGAGCTAGCCTTTTGAAAATGGTTGTGCCTTTCGTGCATTAGCTTGGTGAAAAATTAATTGTCAACGAGTTTGCAAATGCTCTCCAAGGTCTGCAATCAGTTCCTAAATTTTTGGTGGGGGGGGGATGCACATAAACAGATAATACTGATTTTGAGCTCATAATTTTTCATAAATATACTGATATAAATAAACTAAGCAAATCTATTTTCTCTTTTCTCATTATTAGACTTACATGCTGACTAAAGTATAACTAGTTTATTATCACTACATACTAATTAAAATATACGCTATTTTTAAGTATTAGGATATTTTAATGAACTAGTAAAAATACTAATTAATATAACATTTTAAATAATATTATTAATTTTGCAAGCTTATGTCAATTTTTATCAATTACAAACAACTTCTGCCATTTTCTGCTAACACAAAGCAAGCTTTGGGGGGGGGGAGCCATATATGGTATGGAGCAGCATAAATAAATAAAGCAGGTGGGTTACATAGATCACATTTATACACTATTACAAAAAATACTGCTTATAGAGCTGTAAGAAAAATATTTATTTTATACATATGAGGTGACTTAAAATTTTTTGAAGGAAATGAACAGGAAACCAGAAATTAAGTTAAATGAGTTATTTCAACTTTTTATTGTTTGAAAAATTAAATACAGTACAAAGTCTGAAATCCAGATGTACATTATCCAGAATGATCTAAATTCCAGACCTCAAAGCCACAAACTTTTTTTTTTTTTTTGGGTATGCTTTAGGCATGCACATTTGATCTTTCCTTCCATAATAAAACAAGTGGAGATTTTCACTTAAAAATTCCGTTTCTTAATTTCACTTAGGCACAAAATAAAATACATTATGAAAAAAACAACCATGTAAGCAGAAATTTGTGAGATTAATAATTTGGCTGTGTAGCGGAGTGTCTGCTTGGCATTACATCTCAAACCGAAACATTCACCTATTTTATATCCCTGACACCGACCTGGCGAGTCATTATTTATTATATTTTGCTTTCATCACCCCATGTTTATCAATACATGAGAGCTTCAGTAATAACTTGTGCAGTGATGTCTAAACTTTTTTTTATATTAGTAATTGAATAACAAGAGTAAGGGAACCTTTTCTGCTAACATTACGCTTGATGATTATTATAGATTTTTAAATGCTCTAAGAAATGTTGACGAGGAAAAATTCAACAAAAATTTCTTTTCATATGCTAAAAATAGATTTTGTTAATGAAACTCATAAACTGATATGTTATTTACCATAAACCCACAAGCGGAAGCAGAATATGGCCACACCGGGTGGCAGAATTTAGGGAAGACACAATTTTTGGAATTTGGGGAAGCATCGAGCAGCAAAATTAAGGGATGAGAAGTTTTTTATAATTTATGGGGGAAAGCATTGGGATCCAAAGTTTAGGCATGGCAAAAATTTAGAACTTAGGAAGGTACTTTGTAGCAAAATTTAGAGACTGCACCAGGCGGTATCTAGCACCGGCCCTAGATAACTTAAGTATATGTGGGAGTTTATTTATTCAGGACTCAGATTAGTTTTCAGCATGTGCAAGAAATAAACATAGGTATAGTAAATAACTAGTACAATTCAGGCTTAATTCAGTACGCAATAGGAGCAAGACAAAATTTAGTGGAATAACTTGGCTTTTGACGCCAATCTTGTGATACACAGCCAATAATGTATAACGCACGCTCTTAAGCTAGGCTAAAATTATCTTAACTGATTCTAAGGTATTTCAGTTAATGTAGCAGACTGCGCTGCTCCTTAATCTTCTAATTTGATTCAGCTTATTATTTTTTGCAGACTGTTATTATTACAGCAATTTTATAAAAATTAAGCTTGGACTTTCGATTATATCGAAAATAGTTTCCAGTTCTGGAGCTGCTAAAGGATCTACAAAGCGAAAACCACGTTTCGATGTCCATTAAACAAAAAGTGGAATCGCTGCAAAAAATGGATAAAGGCATATCTGTCTCAAAATTATGTGAGGAGCATGACATTGGAAAATCAATTGTATATGACATAAGAAAAAGGAACTTTTTAATTTTTTATGGAAGCAACTTAAACAACTTATATTGAAAGAAATGTTTAATAAAGCAAACAAATAAATATTAAGCTTTTTTTTTTTTTGTAAATTTTGATACCCTTTAGATCATAATTGATCTTTATTTCATAAATTACGATTTCATATTTTTAAATTATTAATTTCTGCATGCCATCTTACCAGATTTAAATTGATGATCTATTATTCGGAAAAATCCCCAACTCTGGAAACGCCGAAGTCCCGACGAACCTGGATTTCGGACTTTGTACTGTATAGTAATTTTCCAAGAGAGATTTCTCTGTGTATTATAGCGCTGTATTTAAAAGCCACACTTAGAGATACAGAAGAACTATGCCTCACTCTAGTAACTGATAATGACAATCCAATCTCAATGTGTTTTTTGCTTCTCGTGCAATCATTCATATGTAGCAGAACTTAGTTTATTTGGTATTTGTTTCCCATAATTAAAACTGATATGCGTGCTCATACTCAATTCATTGAATAAATTAATATAACAGCAGATGTGCTATACTTTCATGTACTGATATATGTGCAATTCATCATATGATCAAGCAGGCAAATTTGTTACGCACACTGCATAACCCATACTATAGCATACCTAAATTAAATCAGGATGCAATACTGCTATAGTCTATTACTTAAAGCTATTCAAAGCTGTTGACAGCTCTCCCCATCTGTGATTATAATGTGTGTTTTCGTCCTGCACAGCACTTATTCAAATCAGCCTTCATTCATGTGCTTTCATGAAGCAAAACATGCTAAACAGATATGAAAGGTAGGTGAAAAAATTAGGCGACTCAAATATCTGCTGCAACTGTTGTTCCCATGATTACGAGGCAAGTCAAATGGTGGAAATAACCTTGAAGTTCCTATTTAAAAGTAAGAAACTATAATGATACACACTAATGCCCCCAATAAAACTTTAAAGAATATTAATAAGTTAACATTACCTAGATTGATTATAAAAGAAGAAGAGTATCTGAACATTTTAGTCTTCCAGTGAATAATCTGCAGTTTAATAATGAAGCAGTTTTCATCAGACATAAAATCATGTATGCTCTCTAAAAACTTTTCTTACAGTACCATTACATATAAGAATTAACGATAGTATAACAGAATGTTTATATGAATAATGATGCTAACTTTACATGATTTGGTGACATGTGCTATACATGCTTTTAAAACCTTTAAGATTTAAAAATGTTCATGTTCATCACTCTCTTGTACTTATATTTGTGTTTGTAATCAAAACGTGTAAAACTGGATCTAACTAAAAGGGCAGCATCTCGCATCAGCTGCTGCTAGAATGTGTTGATAAATATATTCTTAGCTCCATATGCGTTGCTAGGGTCAAATAACATTAACATGTTTTGGCACTACTAACTGGAAGTGAGTACTAGAAGGAAGATTAAAAGTAAATTCAAGCCATTATTACAGATTTTCATCCTGGCAGATGATGCAGGTTATCATAATAATAATG